CTCGTTTACTGTGTAGGGTGACCTTTAGCTCTCTAAGTCTTAATTCTGTCATTTCTAAAATGGAGATGTCACCAAGCTCAAAACATTGTCTCAAGAATTGAGCTTCCTTTTTTTTAATTTTTAATTTTTAATTTTTGAGTCAGAATCTCATTCTGTAGCCCAGGCTGGAGTGTAGTGGCACACTCACAGCCACCACAGCCTTGACCTGTTGGGCTCAGGCAATCTTTCCACCTCAGGCTTCCAAGTAACTGGAACTACAGGCACGCGCCACCATGTGGTGCGTACCTGTAGCATAGCCAGCTAATCAGGAGGCTAAGTTGGGAAGGATTGCCTGAACCCAGGAGTTCAAGACCAACCTAGGCAATATATAGCTAGACCTCTTCTCTACATAGAAAATTTAAAAATAGCCATGCCCGGGTATTTTTGTTTGTTTGTTTGTTTTATTGTAGAGATAAGGTCTCGCCAAGTTGCCCAGGCTGGTCTCAAACCTGTGGGCTCAGGCAGTCCTCTCACCTCGGCCTCCCAAAGTGCTGGTATTATAGGTATGAGGCACCATGCCCAGCCAAGAATTGAGCTTTCAAAACACCTGAGAGCTCACACTAATCAATACAATAAAATTTAAAAAGAGATGAACAAGCTAACAGAAAAACTGACAAAAGATACAAACACGCTATTCGCAGAAGAAAATAGCTTTTGTAGAGTCAATAAACACAAGAAAAGATGTCCAGCCTCACTGAACATCGAAGAAATGCAAACCAGAGTGACAATGAAATATAATGTTTCAGCTATCAAATTGACAGATTAAAAAGACTCATAATACCAATGTTGGCAAGGGTTTAGGGAAACAGACGGTCTCATATCCAGCTGGTATGAGTGAACGCTGACTTACATTTGCTTTGCTGGTTAAAACTGTAAAAGTTCATATTTCTTATTCTAGAAGTTCCTCTTTTAGCAGTTTATCCTTCATATATACCTATACAAGAGGGTAAAAAATGTGTGTTATTGTGATACCTTGTCAAAGTGGAAATTGTTCAAATGTCCAATAGTAGAGGATTAGTTATGATAACAGTCATGCAATGAAATATTATACAGGAAATGAAAGGAATGAGGAAGTTCTATTCTTTTTTTTTTTTCCCCTGAGTTGGAGTCTCACTCTGTCACCAGACTACAGTGCAGTAGCATGCTCATGGCCACCACAGCCTCTACCTCCCGGGCTCAGGTGATTCTTTTGCCTCAACCTTCCAAGTAGCTGGAACTATAGACACGCGCCACCAAACCTGGCTAATTAATTTTTTTTACTTATTGTAGAGTTGAGGTCTCACCAAGTTGTCCAGGCTGGTCTCAAACCTGTGGGCGTGAGCCACTGTGCCTGGCCTTGGGGGGAAAATGTTCTTATCCTGTAATGTCACAATTTGCTATGACCATAGTTAATGATCACAGCTGAGTCAGGGCTGTTTTTGTTATGTGAAATAAATGCTTTTTCTAACAATTAAGCTTTATTAGTCCATGTTATTTTGAGACATTTCTGGTGTAGTATACACGTGGAAGGGCCACGCTTGCTAGATAGTTAAAAATTTCAGACTAGGCATGGTGGCTCATGCCTGTAATCCCAGCACTTTGAGAGGCCAAGGTGGGAGGATCACTTGAGTCCAGGAATTTGAGACCAGCCTGGGCAATATAGCTAGACCTCATCTCTACACAAAAAATAAAAAAAAATTAGCCAGGTGTTGTGGTGCATACCTGTAGTCCCAGCTACTCGGGAGGCTAAAGTGGCAGGAATTTCCTGAGCCTGGGAGTTCCGAGACCAACCTGGGCAATATAGCTAGACTTCGTCTCTACGTTTAAAAAAAAAAAATTAGCCAGGTGTTGTGGCACATGCCTGTAGTCCCAGTGATTTGGGAGGCTGAGGTGGGAGGATCGCCTGAACCCAGGAGGTCGAGGCTACGGAGAGCCATGACTGTGCCACTGCACTCCATCCTGGGTGACAGAGTGAGATCTTGACTCAAAAAAAGTAAAATAAAATTTTAAAAACTTCATAGATGGTAAGATGAGGAGCAACAAAAGTTCGTTAACAAAAGGATGAGTGTGTTCTGTTTTTAGGTCTGTTAGGATAGAAGCAAGCATGTGTGTAATTTTAGGTGCTATGGAGTGCTGCATTCATTTATTCAGTCAACAAACATCGCTATGCCGCTGCCACGGGTCAGGCACTGTGGTAGGGGCTGGAGTTACTACCACCTTCACATAAAAATAAATAATTACTGGAAGTCTCATAGGGGACATGATAAAAGGAGACAGCGACTCGCAGGTGTCACTGTGATGATAAAAGAGGAACCGTTGATGGTGTTGAAATAGGAGTTTGAGAGCAGGGATTTTGTTTTGTCCATAGCATCTAGAAAAGTGCGTGGCATATCGTACTTGCTTAATGTATAGAACTTGCTGGGCTGGGTGCAGTGGTTCATGCCTATAATCCCAGCACTTTGGGAGGCTGAGGTGAGAGGATTGCCTGAGCCAGCAGGCAGTTGAGTGAGACTCCAACTCAGGGGTTCAAGACCAGCTGGGCAACTTGGCGAGACCTCATCTCTACAATAAATCCAAAAATTAGCCAGGCATGGTGGCATGTGCCTGTAGTTCCAGTTACTTGGAAGGCTGGGGCGAAAGGATCGCCTAAGCTCAGCAGGTCGAGGCTGCGGTGGCCATGAGTGTGCCACTGCACTCCAGCCTTGGTGACAGAGTGAGATTCCAACGCAAAAAAAAAAAAACTTGCTGAATGAATGAATTTATCAAGCCAGAGCCCCAATTAAGATAACAGATGACATGTTCACCTATGGATACTTGAGGAGGGTCTTATAAAAAGACACCAAGTTGGGCTGGGCGTAATGGCTCACACCTGTAATCCCAACACTTTGGGAGGCAGAGGCGAGAGGATGGCCTGAGTCCAGGGGTTTGAGACCAGCCTGGGCAACTTGGCGAGAGACCTCGTCTTTACAATAAATAAAAAAATTAGTACACCATGGTGGCACACGCCTGTGGTTTCAGCTACTTGGAAGGTTGAGGCATAAGGATTGCCTGAGCCCAGCAGGTGGAGGCTGCGGTGGCCTTGAGTGTGCTGCTGCAATCCAGCCTGGGCAACAGAGTAAGACTTCTACTTAAAAAACAAAACAAAACAGAACAAAAAACCCCCACAAAGTTGCCTGTGAGCTGTGGGAGAGCCTAAGGGACAGTGCAGGAGCCCAGGCTGGTGGAGGGACATTGTCACAACTCCTAGGCTGGCAGAAATGAGAGGATTGAGGTTACTGAACTGGGAGGAACCAGATTCTCTCTCTGATGTCCTGCCAAATCTAGCTGGGAGTCAGTGGGCAGGGATCCAAAACAGTCCACCCAGGTTACCTAGTGCGTATCTCAAGGTATCTTTTGCAAACTCTTTGGGACCCAGTATGTTACATGCGTTGTACCAAACTTGGCAAAGTACTCCATGAAATAGGAGGTATTATTGCCATTTTGCAACTGAGAAAACCAAGATTAGTTAGGTAATTTGCCCAGCAGTATAATCAATAAGACATTACTAACTACTATTCTAGACTGAATGAGTGAGGTAAGTGACTTCTCTGGGTCTCAGTTTCCCCATCTCTAAAATGGGATGATACCCATCTTTCAGGAATTTTGCGGGGATTAAATGAGAATGATTATAGAATGTTTGACACTTGGTAGACGCCACTAAATGATAGGTGCTATCAAAAGAAGACTGCAATTCACATAAATTGTACAGGTTTTATGCCTTTGGAGATATGTCAACATGCTAAGTGTGTATCCTCCTAGGTGGAAGAGTAAGTTTGTCCATTTTGTGTTTACTACTATATACTTATTTTTGCACTTGTGGCCATAAACACTTATTACTTTGATAGGAAAGTAAGTTCCTCTGTCTATTCCTCCTTTGCTTTTATCGAGGACCTTCCCATGTGCTCCTGCAATGGTTTTCTGTATCAGGCCCTCGGGCCCTACACTCCATGCTCTGAGTGGCCAATGTGGCCAGTGCCTGCAATGGTAGAAGACCTTGTACTCCATCTGGGACTCAATGACCTGGATCCACTCTTTCTGCCAACACCACCTCCCTCTTGGCCACCGGGAGAATGTGGCGAGAGCCCTAGGCAAAGATTTGGATCCTCAGAACATTCAGACTTTGATCCTAATTTGACACGTTTTCTAGTCGGACTTCTAATTGCTCAACCGCCTGGAGCAGACTCTCTTTGCTATTAAATGATCAGTGCCTGATTAGTTATATTAACATTAATAATAACTCCACAAAGTGGGCATAATCTGTGTTTTATAGATGAGGGAACTAAGGCTCAAAGAAATGAGATCAATTTGGGGAAACTCATATATTCGGTAATTGGCAGAGTCATGGCGAATTTGAACCCTTTACCTCCAAGTCTTGTACTTTTCCATACCCTCTGAAGTCTTCAGTGTGTTTTCTGGAAGCAAAAAGTTTTAATTTTCTAATTACAGAAGTAATCGCAGATTACAATAGAAAATATATAAAGGAGGAAAAACATTCTTACTTAGTTGCTGTATGATTTTGTGTCTTGGGTTTTTTCCATGTAACATTATAATATGCGCCTTGTTCCTTGGTATAAGGCATTCTTTGAAGCTTTATTTTCAATGGCTGCCTAATAATCTCTCAGCTGGATATACCATCATTTACTTAAACAATTCCCTATTGTCGAACCTTCTAGTTGTTTCCAATTTTTTACTGTCAGCAGCAGTGCCGCAGTGAACATCTTTTCATTCCGAAAGCTTTTTCTGTTTGTCCTGTTTCCTTAAGATAGTTTCCCAGAAGTGGAATGACTGGTTCAAAGGCTATTAACATTTTAAGCCTCTTCGTACATATTGCCAAATTCTTCCCCCAAAGGGTGTCACTGGTTCCTTTTCCTGCCAGCAGCCTGTGAGAATATTCCGAGGGCAGCTTCCTACTCTAACCGGCTCTTTCTCTTCTCTCTCCAAAGCCTCATAAAGAAGATGGCTCAGAGCGTGGTGGAAGTCATGGAGGACTCCAAGGGCAAAGTCCAGGAGAACCTCCTGGCCAACGGAGGTAGGTCGATGATGTGTTCTCATTTGTGACGAGTGTTGCTCCCGTTCCAGACCACCAGTAGCCCTGGCTGTGGCCACAGAGGAATGACAGAAATGGCCTAGGCCTCCATGTTGGGCAGAGGCTGTACACCCTACTTCCAGCTCTTCAGTACAGCTAGGTTTGAAAGATAGGTCCCTTCACAAGTTCATGGTTCTGTGGTCTCATTTCTAAGGCGTGTGGCATTTCTTACCCTGTCCTCAGTGAATTGGAGATGAATATTGGGTCCAGGGGTGAAGCCTGACTCTTGCTGTTTGGCCCATCTGCCTTCTCTAAAAGCCTCTGCTCTCCTCCATCTGGAAAATTCTGCTCATTCACCTTATCCCAGCCTTATCTCTTCCCTCAAATGAGGTGTGAAAAATGCCTTCATGTGCTGAGGAGTGTTTCCATGAGCCCTCAGCTGCTGCCGCAAAAATAGGAGACAGGAGACTGCCTCAAATGCTTCATGTAGTATGTTTGTGTTTGGAGTTTGTCTCATGCTGATGAGAGAGATCTTTAGATTCCAGTGATGTTTTGGCCCATTAATTATATGCATGCTATTTGAATACACTTAAAATGTACAAGACAGAAACTTTGAGTCTTTGGAAACTTTAGAATTAAATGTTTAAATATCTGTAGAGATAATTAAACTTATCTAACTCTATGCATATATACTTACAATGAGAGTACAGCCATGCACCACATATTCCAGTCAACGGTGGACCACATACAGGATGGTGATCCCATAAGATTCTAATACTGTATTTTTTCCTGTGCCTTTTCTGTGTTTAGATATGTTTAGATATTCAAGTAGTCACCAGTGTGTTCCAATTGCCTACAGTATTCAGTACGCTAATATGCTGGACAGCTTTGTAGCCTGGAATATGTTAGGTATATAGGGGGCTGTGTCATCTAGGTTTGTGTAAGCACTCTCTGATGTTCACGCAGCAAAATCATCTAACAACGCGTTTTTCAGGACGTATCCCCGTTGTTAAGCAATGCATGACACAAAATGCATAAATATTGTATATTTAACGTTTATATTATTTGTTATATGTTTATATACTTTTCATACTTTTTCCCTCTAGAAACATTAAAAGACTTTTTATGTGCTTGTTTAAGTTGTCAAATAAAGGCCAGGTGCAGTGGCTCATACCTGTAATCCCAGCACTTTGGGAGGCCGAGGTGAGAGGATTGCCTGAGCCCATGGGTTCGAGACCAGCCTGGGCAACTTGTTGAGACCTTATCTCTACAATAAAAAATGTTAAAAAATTAACCGGGCGCTGTGGCACATGACTATAATTCCAGCTACTTGAAAGGCTGAGACAGAAGGATCACCTGAGCCCCGCAGGTCAAGGCTACGGTGACTGTTAGCGTGCCCCTGCACTCCGGCCTGGGTGATGGAGTGAGACTCCAACTCAAAAATAAATAAATAAATAGACAAATAGAAATGTTTATACTCCCACATGTGATCTTGGCTTTGAGTGTCTATGTGATTTAATAACTCCACCTTATTGTATTACAGGCTTGAAGGAAAAAATGAAATGTCTAAAGAGTAGGTTATATGTTGTTTGCTGTGTCTGTGCCTGGCGTGATGCCCGCATGTCCCTGGGAAGGTGGAGTGTCAGTCTGGTTGTGGGGTGCGGTGACTGGGCTGTGACCATTTCTCAAGTAGCAACCTCGTGGCTTGGTCCCAATACCCATGTGGCACAGGTGGCCTCCTTTCTCCCTCTTTCTCCTGTCCCCACACCTCTTCTAAGTAGCGCTGCATGTCACCTGGACATTGGGAATGCTTGGTCTCTGTGGAGTTCAAGATGAGCTTCTGCATCCTTTTGCATGTGATCTCTTCCTGATGGCTGTTCCCTGTGTCCTTTGAGGCCACTTGTTTTATGGACACTGAAGGCTTACATGCCAGGCTTTGCTTTGTGAGGCCTTGATGGTATTCACACATGCAAGGAGCCTCCTGAGGCAATTCTCGTTACCCAGACAGGTCATTCCTTGTATGGTTATTAGAAGGAGTCATTTGGCTGGGCGCAGTGGCTCACACCTATAATCCCAGTACTTTGGGAGGCTGAGGTGAGAGGATTGCCCACGGGTTTGAGACCAGCTTGGGCAACTTGGTGAGACCTCATCTCTCCAATAAATCAAAAAATTAGGCAGGCATGGTGGTGTATGCCTATAGTTCCAGCTACTTGGAGGACTGAGGCAGAAGGATCACCTGAGCCCAGCAGGTCGAGGCTGTGGTGGCCGTGAGCATGCCACTGCACTCCAGCCTAGGCAACAGAGTGAGACTCCAACTCGGGGGGTGGGGGGGAAGGCGCTATTTGCTTTGGGTTTGTGCCAACCTGCTCAAACAGGTGGGATTAGAGGTCGCAAATCATTATAGGGAAATACAAATATATTTGTAGATCGGAAGTTACCAAATGCCTTCCCAAATGTAATGTTTGTCACACTAAGATTTCTTGGTGATGCTAAGAAAAAAAATTACTTTGTCAAGTTGACCAGCTGATCTTTCTGAGTAGGTAATTCGTAGGGTCATAGACTGAAAAACTGACTTAAGCCTGAGGCGGAAGTATCACCTGAGCCCAGCAGGTCAAGGTTGTGGTAGCTGAGAGCATGCTACTGCACTCCAGCCTGGGTGACAAAGTGAGACTCTGACTCAAAAAAAAAGCCCAAATTAGCCAGGCATGGTGGTTACACATATCTGTAGTCCCAGCTACATGGGGCTGAGGTGGAAGAATCACCTGAGCCTAGGAAGTTGAGGCTGTGATGAGCTGTACTCCAGCCTGGGTGTAAGACTCTGACTCAAAAATTAAAAAAAAAAAATAAAAAGCATGTTTTGTAAACTAGAACAGAGAAAACTCTTTAAACTTAGTTTGATTTGGACTTTCCCAATGCTGTCTGAATGAGGAAGTCTTTCTCTTCTGCAGGCTACCCATGAACCCGTGATAGACAGAATGGACTAGGGGAACGCATTGTTGCATTTTAATCTTATCTCCTCCAGGGCAATGTAGGTCACTGCTACCTGGAAGGGCCAGCAGGCGGTCAGACCTTGTCTAAAAGGTCTGTGCCTTCCTTTACCCACCTGTAGGTGGACTTTCTAATTATTAATAGCATTCGACAGGCTCTTACAGATGCCTGGGCACTTTTGTTTTTGATTCTTCTTTGCTTTAGCTGAGCTGGGAGTATGGAAAGACATAACTAGCTGTGATTGCAGTAGAAGCTGGTAAACAAACATACGCTGTCTGGCCTGGGCCTAGAATATTCACAGGAAACAGAAACACCCGAGGCCGAGGGCCTTTCTGGCTAACTGGGCAGCAGGCTGCAGGCGTCGCGGACACAGTCCTTTGCCTGTTGCCTGTGGGGCAGGCCTTGTTTTGGTTCTCTGGCAAGTTATTATTGCTCAAGAGACGAGGCCTGTGTGCAGCCTGTTTTGATGTGGGGCGAGCCTGCCCGTGTCATGGTCTGACCTCTCAGGCTCTCTCTGAGGAGTAGGCTCCACTGACGTCAGCCTGGACAGAGGAGGTGAGGCGTGAGGCCTGTTCTTTCCTGAGTGGTAAAGAGAAGGCTGCAATCCTGTAAGTACAGAAGGCCAAGGGGATGGCATGGCAGACACCGTCCTCAGATGATGGTTTTTTGTTTGTTTGTTTTTTGGTTTTTTTTGAGTTGAAGTCTCACTCCTTTGCCTGGGGGCTGGGGTACAGTGGCACACTCATGGCCACCCCAGTGTCGTCAACCTGCTGGGTTCAGGTGATCCTTCTGTCTCAGCCTTCCAAGTAGCTGGAACTGCAGGCACGTGCCACCATGCCCAGCTAATTTTTTTTTTTTAATTTATTGTAGAGATGACATCTCGCCAAGTTGCCCGGGCTAGTCTCAAACCCATAGGCTCAGGCAATCCTCTCACCTTGGCCTCCCAAAGTCCTGGGATTATAGGCGTGAGCTACTGCACCCAGCCAGATGATGTTCTTAACAGCGGCAACATGCGTGAGCAGGGAAGGGTGTTGGATGCCTGACCTAGGGCGAGGGCCAATGTCTGGAACTGCAGCTGGTCTTCAGGACATGGGACAGATGAGGAGGAGGAGGTCACAGTCGCCCACCCAGACGTTTCTCAAGGCTCCTGCAGGGTGATCCTGGTCTAATATCCTCTCGGACTCCCTTGAGCATCTGTCGAGTACCAAGCATGTACTGGACATGCAGAGGTGACCAACACAGCACAGATGCCCAGCTTTGCCCTCTGGGAGCCACAGCCCCGAGGGGGACAGACTCATGGCACCATATGCACTAGGACAACAACAGGCTGAGCCACAGGAAGGGGGCTGAGTCTCAGAGGAAGTGTAGGGGCGCTTCAAGTGCAAAGGAGAACCTCACCCCTTCCATCTGAATGCCATAAAGGCTTTGGGCTTAGTGCAAATGCATGGAGATAATGACTTGATCTGAAAAGTATCTCTTCTGAGCAGATGGACAGGGCGAGTTGCTATGGCAGTCATGGTTATTAGGAGGATTTCTGTCAATGAATGTTTGAGCATGTTTATGGAGCACTGGCTCTGTGCGGGGCACTGTGACAGGCTCTGGGGACACAGAGACCAGTGAGTCATAGTCTCTGCCCTCAGGGAGTCTGAGAGGGCTGAGACCCAGGGGTGATCATACAGCATCATCAGGGTAATGAAGCTTGGGCCAGCAGGGGCAGGGACAGCAGGGTGGCTTCTGAAAGGTGTTGGTCTCCATCCGTGCTGTGTGTGGATGTACCCCAGCAGCAGTGACAGGAGAAGAATGTGGGGGGCTGAGCGGGACTGCTTGGGTGGAGCTGTGGGAGGGGACAGAGACGAGGGAGGAGGAGAAAGGCGGGAGGGCACACATCACCCCACCACCTCGATGCTGGCTCCCTCTTTGGGATGGGCCTGGGCTGTCGGCGGGAGGTGAGCTTGCCTGTGCCCAGGCCTGCCACTGCAGGGCCAGGAGATGGTTTCCACTGTCATTCTTGCCACAGGAAGAGTCTTTCCCATCCTCCCAGGCAGCCTCCGACATTCCCCGTTGTTGTGGGCCAGACTCCTCGCTTCCTCCCCAAGCCTATGTCCCTTCTATAAGGTCATTTCCCCACCGTGGTGTGGCAATACCAAAATCTATATTAATACCCAAACAAATACCAATATCTGTCTGAGTCAGCTTGGGCTGTCATCACCAAGTACCATAGGCTGGGCGGCTTACACAAACAGGAGTTTATTTTCTCACAGTTCTGGAAGTCAGAAGCCCAAGATCAGGATCAGCTGATCCGGTTTCTCATGGGCTCTCTGCCTGGCTTGTCGACATCGCAGTGGCCTCACATGGCCTTTCCTTGCTGCATGTGTGTAGAGGGTCCCTTCTTGTAAGGACACGAGTCCTCTCAGATCACGGCCCCATACTGAGGGCTCAGGCCAGGACTGGCTATGTGACTTCCATCACCAGTGTTGTAAGTGCCTAAACAATTCTCCCAAGGGCCTCTTCCAAGTCCCGGTGGTCTAGAAGGTATCTGATATGGCTCTTGGGAAGTGAGTGGCCAAGGAGCGAGTGTCCCCACTCCACCTGTGGGGATGTGATCGTGGCCTTGGCAGGGTGTTGGTGCTTCCTGTGAATTGTCTCATTTTACATTGGAGGTTACATAACTCACTCTGGACCAGAGTTTCCTCTTTTTGTAAAATAGAGATAGCAGTATTTACTAGGGTTGAAGAGTAAGATAAATGAAGTAATGTCTGTGTCCTGGCCCAAGGGAAGCCATCAGTAAATGTCAGCTGCCTTCATGGCTATCACCGTCATTCTGATTACTGAAGATGTTTCCTACCTCCTGTATGCCATACTTCTGTCACCAGTCCCATTCCCTCCTCTGAGTCCCATTGTATTCCCATCTGCCTGGGGACTTGTCCACCCATGTATGCAACTTGTCCCTCGCTGAGTGCATACCTGCAGCCTCCCTGGCTGTCTGGCTTAGTGTACGTCCCTCCCACCCAGTCACTCAACTTGACATCTGGGTGTGCATCACTGGCCTCATGTCCTGTCAGGTCGGTCCTCTTCTTCCCTCCCAGGGCTCCTTCAGCCTCTCTCAGCATCGCTTTCTCTCTCCCTCAGTCCTCACGGCTTCTCTCCTCAGAGCCTGCCCACATCAGCCTTGGTGTGCCTTCTGTGCCTGAGCCCTCGGGCCCTCCCACAGTGCGCCTGTCCCCACCTGCCCCTCCTTGGCCAGCCGGTTGGTGACGCAGCCCTGGAGGCTTGTTTGGGGACCCTGCTCAGCACTGCTGTCCGAGCTGGAGTGATCTGTGTCCAATTCCCAGAGTGTTCTAGGGGCTGAGGGAGTAGGTTCTGGTCCTGTTACCGGCACAGGACAAACTACAAGACATGGCCCTGTGTGACCGGCCCTGGCCCTTCCTGCCCAGCGACTCTGACACTCTCTCTTCCCTCTGCTTTACCCAGTGACTTATTGTGCCCCGAACACACAAAGCTGCCCATCCTCCTGCCCTTTTACCCAACACCCTCTGTCACTGGCAACGTGGCCACCCCCTCTTCCCGTCAGCCTCTGTGCAAACCATCCTGCTCTCCCCCAGAGGGGCTGGCGCCAACTCTTCAAACTCCCTCCACGCCGTGCGTGCTTGTCTCTGACTCACCGACTCCCTGTGTCATGTCTGCCTTGGTGTCTCCCCAGCAAACGGTGAGCACCTTGACCTCGAGTGGGGAAGGGTGCCTGTTGTGTATCCACAGCAGGGTGACTGCACGTTGAGCGCTTGTGATAGTCCCTTTATGTGCATCAGGATACACGGGGAAGTGCAGGCACCTAGGGGACTAACTGGGCGAGTTGCCATGGGAAGGGCCATCTTCCTGGGGGTGGAGGAGGTCTAGGGGCCACAGTAGCGCTGTGCCTCCTGCCGAGTCTTCTGCATTACCACCAACCTGGCATTATTACGAGAGTCACGTCCTGGGTTAGAATTCTTTAAGTGTGTGTAAAAGTAATCTGATGGGGGTAGGCATTCAGTAGGTGTGTGCCTCCTGTTCCTCATATAAGGAAACTGACTTCGTTCCTAACTTGCTCACAGCCTAGGGGCCCTGAGTCAGCTGAGGCATTCAGTTTGCTTCTGTCCAACTTTGGAACCCTCTCCTCCACCCGCAGCTGGTTAGAGTGAGCTGGTTAGAGTTAGCCACCCCTAAACACAGTGGCTTGTAGTTTGTTTTAGAAGACCAAAAAGGAAACGTGTGAAAACACTCGTGTGTTCTGTTTGCCATAGACTTTTTAAAAAGGTAGATACTGCAGAGTGCACATCCTTACCAGTTGGTGAAAACCACAGCCACAAACTTCAGTATCCTGCTGATGTTTAAAATGCCCTTCTTGAAATAGACAGCACTGACCAGGCGCAGTGGCTCACGCCTATAATCTCAGCACTTTGGGAGGCTGAGGTGACAGGATTGCCTGAGCCCACGGGTTTGAGACAAGCCTGGGCAACTTAGCAAGACCTCATCTCTACAATAAATCAAAGAATTAGCTGGGTGTGGTGGTACATGCCTGTGGTTCCAGCTGCTTGGAAGGCTGAGGTGGAAGGATCGCCTGAGCCCAGCAGGTCGAGGCTATGGTGGCCATGAGCATGCCACTACACTCCAGCCTGGGTGACAGAGTGAGATTCCACCTCAAAAAAAAAATTAAAAATGAAATAGTTTTAAAAAAAGAAAAGAAAAGAAATAGTGCAGACTGAAACTACCTCATCTAGGGCTTGAACTCAGGAGGCAGGAGACACTTATCTGGCATCAGGTGGCACCTGTGACGTTCTCCCAGGCTGCATGGCTTTTGGGAATTTGGCTTGATCTCTGGCTTGCCTTTGGGATACCTCAAAACAAAGCAACGACCAGCAGAGGAGTGTGACCCGAGCATCGGGAGAGGCAGAGAATTTGTACAGTGGCCTCTCAGAATATTGTTGCTTGAGTTCCCACCTCTCAGGAAAGCCATCTCTCCCAACAGCTGAGCTCGGTCTTGACAGCCATCTGAAGGGGAGTCTGGGGCTCTGCGGGGCATCTGTCACAGTGTTCTTCTGCCATTGCTGGATTTTTCAGAGGGGCTCAGGGTGTCACCGACGGTTCTGGCTGGTGGCCACCAGCTGGCTCAGAGCTCTCTGCTATCCCATGGGGCATGTTTGCATTCCTAGAACCCTGACCCTGCCCACCAGTGTTTTCACTAATTGCTTTGTTGGTGTCAGAGTGTCACTTGGCTCAGGACTTAGCGGTCTTAATCTTAGATGGGGCACGTCCACTCACTTGTCGAAATGTGTTTGTCTTCTTTCAGTTGACTTAACATCTTTTGTGACCCACTTTGAATGGGACATGGCCAAATATCCTGCAAAGCAACCGCTTGTGAGCGTGGTGGACACTCTAGCAAAGGTGAGAGAAGGGACTGCTCCTGGGGCCGCTGACTGAGGTAAGATCTACGTGGTGTTTTGGAGAGGCAAGAGGCTGGGTTCTAGCCCTGCCGAGTGGACCTGGGTAGGGTCTCCTCCCCACGCTGCTTCCAGCCAGCCCTGTTGGGCCTTCGGGTTTCTGAGGTGTGAGGCCTTCTTCCATTCCCTGGGCAAGATCAGAACTTTGGATTTCCGGGCAGCCCTGGACCAGAAAAGGCGGGTGATCATCTGGCCTCCCGTAGGGTTGCCTGTGGTCTTATAGGATACTCCCCTCAACAGGCCTGAGTCAGCAGTGTTCTGGCACCCATTCACCTCACCCCCCACCTCTTTTCAAAAGTCACTGATGGAGCTGGGTGTAGTGGCTCAAGCCTGTAATCCCAGCACTTTGGGAGGATCGCTTGAGGCATGGAGTCAAGACCAGCCTGGGCCACATAGCAAATCTCCATCTTTAGAAAAAGCCAAAAAATTAGCTGGATGTGGTGGCACACACCTGTAGTCCCATCTATCCTGGAGGCTGAGGAGGGAGGATCACTTGAACCCAGAAGTTCAAGGCTGCAGTGAGCTATGATCATGCCACTGCATGCCAGCCTTGATGACAGAGGTAGACCCTGGCTCTAAAAACCAAACAAATAAATAATAAATCAAGGTTACTGATGGGGAAACTCAGTCCCACCTAACCTGCTTTTAGGATCCTGACCCCTATCCCTGTGATTATTTACATGCAAAACAATTTGCTTGGAGTAGGGAGTTTGGCTTAGAAGCCTCAACTCTAACCAGGCACTGTGGCTCATGCCTATAATCCCAGCACTTTGGGAGGCCAAGATGAGAGGATTGCCTGAGTCTGTGGGTTCAAGATCAGCTTGAGCAATTTGGCGAGACCACACCTCTACAATAAATTAAAAAAAAAAAAAAAATTAGCCAGGCATGGTAGCGCTCACCTGTAGTTCCAGCTACTTGGAAGGCTGAGGCGAAAGGATTGCTTGAACACAGCAGGTTGAGGCTGCAGTGACCAAGAGCATGCCACTGCCCTCCAGTCTGGGTGACAGAGTGAGACTTCAACTCAAAAAAAAAAAAAAAAAAGCCTCAACTCCTCGGAGATATCACACCAACTCAGCAATAATTTGAGGTACTTGTGACCATTCCAAATCAATAAGTGGTGCCCTCAGCCTGCTCTCTTGCCATGCAATGGCCTTTACTCATACTTTTTTTTTTTTTTTTTTTTGAGTCTGAGTCTCACTCTGTCGCCCAGGCTGGAGTGCAGTGGCACAATTATGGCTCACCGCAGCCTCTAACTCCTGAATTCAGGAGATCCTTCCACCTTAGTTTCCCAAGTAGTTGTGACTACAGGGGCATGCCACCACACCCAGCTATTTTTTTTTTTTTGTAGAGACAAGGTCTTGCTATGTTGTCCGGGTTGGTCTCAAACTCCTAGCCTCAAGTAATCTCCTGCCTCTGCCTCCCAGAGTGCTGGGATTACAGGCTTGAGCCACCACATTTGGCTTTTCTGCTCATACTTTGATGAAACTAAAATCCCATGGCACAGTTCCACAGGATGCTGTGGGTATCTGGCAGCTGTGGTGACTTTTGTGTGTCTTCACTAAGGGTGAGGCTGACCATTTCTGACAGCCTGTCCCTCCCTCCTGCCACCACACATGAGCCCCTAATGTGTTCTGTCTCCTGCTGGTCTGGGCAGTTGGGAGAGAGTCAGCCTGGGCTGGGAACAAAGGTGCCCTGTTCTCAACTGTGAAGCTCGGGTCCCTCCAGACCCCACCCCTGGCAGTGGTGAGTGGGTCAGGAGCAGATTTGGGGCTCTGGAACCCATCCCCTGACAGCTTCTGCAGGTCTCCTGGGACTAGGGTGGGGCCAGAAGACTTGGGGAATCTGGGTGCAGCTCCTTGGGCGCTGCTTGTGTCACTGAGGTCTCAGCCCCTCCTGGGACAGTCAGGCAGTGATTCTGGAAGGCCCCTCAAGGAGGGGCTGCCTCATGCCAGGTGTGGCTTCTAGGAGGGCACTGCACATGTCCACACAGAGCTGGAAGCACACCCTGCCCCACCCTGCACCAGTTCAGGATTCTCTGAGTCCCAGGGATGCCATACCCAGTGGGGAGGGCCCCCTGGAGCACACAGTAGGGAGCAGAGGAGAGCTGTAGGGAAGGTCTGGCTTCTCTGGGCCAGGGTATCCCACGAGTGATTTTCGACAGGACTGCAGGAAGGAAGGAGGGCACCAGCTGTGCCTGGAACCATGCTGGGCTCTGACTTCCCACCTGGCCCCATCAGGTGGGTGCCACTTTCCTCTGATTGCAGATGAGAAAGTAGCTGAAGGGTTAAGTGCCATGCCCCAGGACCCACAGCTGGTGAAGCATTACACTGGGATGGGCACAGTCCGAGGACCAAAGCCCATGAGTTGTGCTGTGAGTGCAGCACTGCTTTGCAAGGAAGCCCTGGGCTGGTTCCACCGCAGGACACCAGATCTTAGAAGCCAGCTGGGGCAGAGGCTTCAGGGTGTTGACTCCCTCAGTCCTTCCTGCGCCAGCAACACACGTGTGACACCTCCAGTCTTAGCCTTGTTCTGCCAACGAGAGGTCTAAATCGGTCAACTAGAGACCTCCTAGTTAAAGGAGCCCTTATGTTATCTCACAATAATTCTGTTGACTGGGCGTGATGGCTCTTGCCTAGAATCCCAGCACTCTGAGAAGCCAAGGTGGAAGGATTGCTTGAGCCTAGGAGTTCGAGACCAGCCTAGGCAACATAGCAAGACCTTGTAGAGACAAGGTCTTGCTATCTCCCAGCATGGTGGCACGCACCTATAGTCCCAGCTACTCAGGAGGCTGAGACAGGAGGATCCCCTGAGCCCAAGGAGGTTGAGGCTGTGGTGAGCTGTCATTGTGCCACTGCACTCCAGCCTGGGTGACAGGGTGAGACCGCTACTCAAAGTCATAATAATTTTGTGGCACTGAACTCAGGTCAAGGAGCTTATATCTGGTCATACAACCAGTAAAAAGTTGGAATTGGCATCTAAATTTGAGTCTGAATGGTTTGAAAGCCTTAGTTCCTCCAGCTATTTTCCTGACTCCCAAACTCCTCTCAGCAATTTTTTATTGGCTGGTGGTAAAATCAGAAAAATAAAGACAGGCAGTAATTTTTGTTGCTTTTTTTCTTTTTAAAAATATATATATAAATCTTATTTTTATTTATTTATATTTTGAGTCGGAGTCTTACTCTGTCTCCTGTGCTTGAGTGCAGTGGCTTGCTCATGGCCACCTCAGCCTCTACCTGCTGGGTTCAGGCAATCTTTCTGCCTCAGCCTTCCAAGTAACTGGAATTACAGGCATGAACCACCACACCCAGCTAAATTTTTCATTAATTTTAGAGACAAGGCCTCACCAAGCTGCCCAGGCTAGTCTCAAACTCCTAGGGGCATCCTCTCTCCCCCACTTCCTAAAGTGCTGGGATTATAGGCATAAATCACTGCACCCAGCTGAAATCTTATTTTTATAATGCAAGATAGCCAGGCATGGTGGCTCACACCTATAATCCTAGCACTTTGGGAGGCTGAGGTGAGAGGATTGCCTGAGCCCACAGGTTTGAGAGCAGGCTGGGCAACTTGGTGAGACCTCATCTCTACAATAAATCAAAAAATTAGTTAGGCACAGTGGCGTGTGCCTGTAGTTCCAGCTACTCGGAAGGCTGAGGCAGAAGGATCACCTGAGCCCAATAGGTCGAGGCTGTGGTGGCCATCAGTGTCCTGCTGCACTCCAGCCTGGGTGACAGAGTAAGATTCTATCTAAAAAAAAAAAAAAAAAAAACAAGATCTGTGGCTTGTACTTGTGTCAATTTCCTGGTTGTAATGCTGTGCTATATAGTTGTATAGCACACTAGAGTAGTATAGTTGTGTAGCGCAGCATAATATAGTGCGGTTGTATAGTTGTACAGTACAGTACAGTGTAGTTTATAGTTGTATAGTATATGCACTGTGCAGCATAGTGTAGTTGTATAATTGTGTAGTCGTATAGTAAGATGTTATCAGGAGGAAACTGTATGAAGGGTCCTTGGGATCTCTGTGTACTATTTTTGCAACTTCCTGTGAATCTACAATCATTTAAAAGTAGAAAGTGTGACTAGACTTGGTGGCTGAGCCTATAACTTTGGGAGGCCAGGGTGAGTGAATTGCCTGAGTTCGTGGGTTCGAGACCATCCTGAGCACCTTGGCGAGACCTCATTTCTACAATAAATAAAAAATTAGCCAGGCATGGTAGTGTGCGCCTGTAGTTCTGGCTACTTGGAAGACTGAAGCAGAAGGATTGCTGGAGCCCAGCAGGTCGATGCTGGGGTGGCTGTGAGCATGCCACTGCACTCCAACTCAAAAATAAAGTGAAATAAAATAAAAGTAGAAAGTGCATTTTTGCTAAGCCGTACTGTGGCCCTTCCATGGGCTCCACACTCCTGTCAGGCAGATGAGGAGCCTGAGGCAGCCAGCAGGAGAGCAGAAGAGCCTGGCTTGAGCTGGGGCCTGTCCCATTTCTTTCCATCACACCATCCTGCTCCTAACAACCCATGGGAGGGGGATCAGAACGTGCTCCTCAGCCCTGGAACTCTAGCACAAGGGGGACCCCTTGTGACATTCGAGTGGTGATCGCCTCCAAGCTGGAGGGAACCTTCCTTCCTGTGCATACCGGGAAGCAGGGTTGCCTCGGGTACAGCTAAGCCTGAGAAGTGGGCAGTTGTGAGGACCCAGCGATGGTGGGGTCCCCCAGAAGCAAGGGTCAGAGATCAGCCTCAAGCTCTAGCAGAGCCCAAGAGGGCAGGTATAGGGCGTGGGACGCCCTGATAGTTCAGGGTGGGCTTGGAATCAGGAGACGGTCAAGCCGGGTCGTGTCATCCTAGAGCATCACGGCTTGTGCCTGGATGTCTCTGTAAACGGTGCTGTTCCCCCTGCTTGGGCTTGTAAGGGCCACTTTCTGGAAGCCCAGGCGAACTGGGGGAGATAGATGGACGCCATTCCCGGCAGATGGGCAGGGCCACTGTCTTTCTTAGTGCTCCATGAGCAGGGTGTGGCCATTTTGAATCGTTCGATCAACTCCTTCAGGACTCAAGGTCACCAGGAGCTTTTGTTTTCCCAAATAGCAACTGGCCCAGATCGAAACAGACCTGAAGTCCCGGACAGCCGCCTACCACACTCTGAAGATGAGCCTGGAGAATGTGGAGAAGAGATCTATGTGTGTATCTGCACAGCGCCACGTCGGTCTCAGGGGGCCGGTGCTGGGGGGTCTTAGTGCCTGCCCCTCCTATTGCCAGGTGGCCCCAGAGTCTGTGCCTGTACCTGTGCCTGGGGCAAGTCAGATGGTCAGAGGTGCTCCCTCCTCCCCAAGAGCTGTGGACCGGAAGAGGGGAACCTGCCAGAGGGAAGGGCCAGGTGGGATGACCATACCCACATCATGTGCACAGAGAAGAGGACGATGTGTCCTTTCCTCTCCCAGGTTATCCAGAGCACCTGGCGTGACACCCCAGGTCCTTTCCCTAGGCAGGCTCCACAGAGAGCCCCATGGGGGCAGGAGGCTGCAATGTCAGAGCTTGGTCCTTCGTGAGGGGGGTGGTGGGGTCCGTGGCCAGAGCAGAGCAGCCTCAGGGACTTGGGCGCCTTCTCCACTCACCTGAAGGGCCACCCAGTGGGAAAGGGAATGGGCTCTTGGGCTCAGCAGACTGACCTGTCACCAAGCTGGCAGAGGTGTTAGGAGAACACATAAGCTCAGTGTTACAATGGCAAGGACTGCCTTGTGAGGTAATGAGTGCTGTGTCGTGGACGGTGTGTGAGAAGAGCAGGTGAGCTCCCGCTGGGGAGACTGCTTCTGGGCAAGGGGGACTGGGCATGGAGGAGCACCCAGTCCCCCAGATTGTTTCGGGGGTTCTCTGAGACTCTCCAGAGAAGGGAAGAGGCCCAGGGGAACCCAGAGTCAGCTGCTGTCCCTCCAATTGGATCACCCCGGTGAACAAAGAGAATATCACCTGGGTCCTCCCACTCCTGCTTCCCTCCACCGAGGGTCACTGGGCTAACTGTCTTCTCATGAAAAAGGCAAATATGTTAGTGAAACATTAAAAGCCATAGAGTGAAAGACGTACTTCAACTAGAAACTGTCACTGTAGGCTACTTGACTGTGTGTGTCCAAACTGTCTCCCAGGAAGTTGCAGGAGAGCAGTGGCTCTGTGGACTCCAGAGGACAATCATGGCTCACTGTAGCCTCTACCTCCTGGGCTCAGGTGATCCTATTGCCTCAGCCTCCCAAGTAGCTGGGACTGCAGGTTTGTGCCACCATGCCTGGCTCATTTAGATTTTTTTTTCTGTAGAGATGAAGTCTTGCTGTGTTGACCTGGTAGAAATTATTATTATTATTATTATTATTTTTGAGTTGGAGTCTCACTCTGTTGCCCAGACTGGAATGCAGTGGCCGCTCCCGGCCCCTGCAGCCTCGACCTGCTGGCCTCCGGTGATCCTTCCGCCTCAGCCTTCCAAGTAGCTGAACTACAGGTGCACGCTACCATGCCCGGGTAATTTTTTTATTTATTGTAGAGATGAGGTCTTGCCAAGTTGCCCAGGTGGGTCTCAAACCCGCGGGTTCAGGCAGTCCACTCACCTCAGCCTCCCAAAGGCGCGGGATTACAGGCTGAGCCACCGAGCCCGGCAAGAAATTATTATTATTATTATTATTTGAGTCAGAGTCTCACTCTGTCGCCCAGGCAAGTGTGCAGTGGCACACTCACAGCCACCGCAGCATCAATCTGCTGGGCTTAGGTAATCCTTTCACCTCAGCCTTCCAAGTAGTTGGAGCTACAGGCATGCACTACCTTGCCCAGTTAATTTTTCTTAATTTATTATAGAGATGAGGTCTCACCAAGTTGCCCAGGCTGGTCTCGAACCCCTGGGCTCAGGCAGTTCTCTCACCTCGGCCTCCCAAAGTGCTGGGATTATAGGTGTGAGCTACGACACCCAGCCTGAAATTATTTTTTAAAAAATGTATTAGAGATGGAATCTTGCCTGGTTGCCCAGTCTAGTCTCAAACCCCTGCTCTCAAGTGGTCCTTGTACCTCAGCCTCCCAAAGTACTGGCATTACAGGTGGGAGCCACTGAGCCCAGCTGACCCAAAGTTGTAGTTCTTAAGAATGGGTCAGGACTCGAGCAGCTTCTTTGCTCAGCTGGTGAAGTTAGTTCATTCATGATCATTCACTGATTCTCAGTCACTTCAATTTATCAAGCACATACACTGAGAATAGAAAGGGACATACAGGTGAAACCCTCACCAACCCCCTCCTCTGCTATTTTCTTCTTTCCATGTGTGTTGACTAAATGCCTGCTATGCCCGCAGGCCTTATGCTAGGCCCTAAAGATATGAAACAGAATGACATATAATTTCTGCACTTGCAGAGCTCACACTTATTCATTCAACAAATATTCACGGAAAGTTTGCTTTGTGCTGGGTCTTCAGAGGGGAACCAGTGATCAGCTGAATGGTGTAAGGGCTACGCATTCACTGCTAGGACACGGTGGCTTGTGCCTGGTGCCCAGGGGAAAGAATCCTAGGGGATTTAGGCAGGCAAAGGCCAGGAAAGGAGGAATGGAGTTGCCTGGGCAGGTTGGAGTGCCTCTGGGGTGGTGTTTACCGTTACCTTTAGAGCTTTGGTGATGGCTAATTGCTGGGGGATTTCCCAGGGGAGCGTTGTGTGTGACGTCATGGCCTCTGTGCTCACGCTGGGTGCAGCCTGGGTGACTGGCTCTTGCCACCATTTGCCATGGCAACAGCCTTGATCCAAGTGCCCACCATGCCGTAACCTTTACTCAGCCCTACTGGGCATGTAGAAAGCTATTTCAGGTGAGTGTTCCCTGGCTGCCGGGCTGAGAGCTCTTGTAAAGTGACACGTAGCTCTGTCGAGGACGAGACCTGGCTGCTGTGTCGACACCTGAGAAACGTTAGTCACTTGCCACCTGAGGTCCCCTCCCTGCAGTCGCGGCTCTCATGGGGCTAGCGCAGGTCACACAGGTGTTGGATTCGGCAGCCCCTTAGGTGACTGGTGATCGCACCTGAGGCCCTGCCAGCCTTCCTGTCCCTGGGTGGGAGGAGGCAGCAGCTCTGGCCACTCACCACCCGGGGGCGCTCGGCCCAGGGGCAGGCAGGTGGGGAGTGGGGGTTGGTGGTGGTGCTGGTGGCAGGGGTAGGGGTCGCTTGTGAGAATCGCCACTTTCTCTTAGGCGCCAGCGTCTACAGTGCTCATCCCTCCCCTGGGGTGAACCTTGTCCTGCTTGGCCCCCAGTCCCAGTGCCTGGCTATTGTGGGTGTCCATGGGGCCAGCGTGTCCCTTTCTGCTGATCACATACTTTGTTCCACCTGCCTATCAGGGGCAACCTCTTCACCCGGACCCTGAGCGATATTGTGAACAAAGAAGACTTTGTGCTGGATTCAGAATATCTCATCACACTCCTGGTCATCGTCCCCAAGTAAGTGGGCCAGGAAGGTGGAGGGGCTGGTGTCTCGGGTGGTCACAGAAGGAAACTGGCCCCGCCCAGTGGAGAGGAAGGAGGACCCGTTGATGTCTGGGTGGTGAGGAAGGAGATGTGCCCATCAGCCCCGATTCCCGGGAAGCAGAGGCCCCTGCATGGTGCCCTAGGATCACAGCTGTGTCAGCAGGAACAGTAGTTGGGCGATGGTGGTCATGCCGTGACAGAAGCAGCCATTTATTGAGCACCTGCTGTAAGCCCAGTGTGTCACAGACATCATTTCATTTTATCCTCACCTCAGGCCTGGGAGATTTGTTACTATTCCCATTGTCCTGAGGCTAGAGAAGTCAGTTAGCTTGTCCAAGGTCACTCAGGGTCAGGGTTAGAAAGTTATTAGGAAGCGCCAAACAGACCTATAGCTGAGTTGCTCACACAGGGACCTCCCATGGGCATCCTGGGACCCCTACTGCAGTCTGGGCAAGGCATTCCCTGTGGCCAGAGCAGTTTGGGGCTCCCTCTGTGTTGTCTCTGCTCCTATCCGTCCCCTCAGGAAAAGCAGTGGGCAGCTTCCTAAGCATTCAGGACAACCTCCATCTTTCAGAACTCCGCTTCCCTGCCCCTACTCTGGAAAGGCTGCCCTGGAGACCGTCTGACAGAGGGGCCCTCTCCGTGTGCCCGCTACCCTTGCTTTTTCTTTTTCTTTTTTTTTTTGAGTTGGAGTCTCACTCTGTCGCCCAGACTGGAGTGCAGTGGCCGC